AAGCCATGCTGGGTAAAATGCTGACATCTTAGCAGAAATCGTAACAGTGGCATCAAACTGTATTAGTAGTCACTGAGTTCTTTACACAATGCACTCATAGTTAAAAGAAAGCCGGGTGGGGGGGGACAGTTTTACTTAAGAATAACCTTGATGAAGCTGTAAAAACAATTAATTCTATTAAAACCTGATCCCCAAGTACATATTTTTTAATAAAATGGGAAGTACACTTAAAGTTCTTTTGCTGCATACCAAAGTACAATGGCTGTCTCAAGGAAAATCATGTGTGCAACGGTTTGAGTTGCTAGCTAAACTAGCCACTTCTTCGTAGCTCATCATTTGTACTTGAAAGAAGGACCAACTACAGACTACAGTATCTGGCAAACTACTGAACTAAGTGAACACATGAAGTAAGTGAGCCTGTTACTTCTAGGAAAACAAATGACAATATTTGTTGCCAGTGATAAAACTTGAAATTTTGAGTAAAAATCCAAATTTGGGCAAACTTGATCTGCCACTATGATTTTACCAGCTCCTCAAGACTTAAAGACTTTTCTAATGAGATTGGTGGTGATGTTAACTGATGTGACTTACTGATGTTGGATACTGAAATATGCCAAGATTTGGAGGATGTGCATTGCTCAGTGAACCAATATTTTCCAAGTGACCAATGTTAGATTTCAAAAAATCATGTGTGGGTACAATAGCCATTCAAAGTACCAACTAGACCAATGGTTTTGTCCATCCTAACAGAGCACAAAACCTTCACTGGATGATCCCACACTCAGCAAACCTCTAAGAAACTACCATTTGGTGAGTTAGTATGAAGTCAAAGAAAAATATCCATAATTATCTAATAAGGCAACTAATACACTCTTCCCTCTTCCAGCTACACATCTGTGTGATGCTAGATTTTCAACCAAAACAACAAATCATAGTAGCCTGACTGAAAGAGTAGTTAACGAGAACTCAGCAGTCTTCTAAGAAGTCAGACATTAAAGTTTTTGTGGGCTTCCCTGGTGGCGCAGTGGTTGAGGGTCCGCCTGCCGATGCAGGGGACACGGGTTTGTGCCCCGGGAAGATCCAACATGCTGCGGAGTGGCTGGGCCCGTCAGCCATGGCCGCTGAGCCTGGCCGTCCGGAGCCTGTGCTCTGCAACGGGAGAGGCCACAGCAGTGAGAGACCCGTGTACCGCAAAAAAAAAAAAAAAAAAAAAAAAAGTTTTTACAAAATTCTGAAACAATGCTGCTCTTTTCCCTCAAATCTTTTTGTTTAGGAAAATACAGCCATTTTCATATAAAAATAATGTTAGCATGTAATGGGTTTAGTACTGTCATTTTAAAATAAATTGAAGATTTAGACACGTTTTCTAGGAGAAATCAATGCAACTGAGGGGGCATGGGGAAATCAAGACACCCCAGAGGGGTCCCACGGGCGACAAGCTCACCACAGGTGTAGGGCTGCAGTCATGCAGGGACTCTGGGGTAAGTTTACTCACGCGACGACATCATTCCTTATTAAACAATCATTCAGGGCTTCTGCCTTTAAACTCACGATGAGACCAAAATCCCAAACCAAACATTCCCAGACTCGTCCCCTCAGAAACAAAGGAAACTTCTAAACCCCCATTCTCGCCAGACTTGATTCTTTTCGTTGCTTTGACGTTGGAACCATCAATGTTTGCATGCTTGCTTGAGTTCCTAATCCTCTCACGTGCCGAAGAATTCCAGTTTCAACCACCCCCAAGCCAAAGACTGAGGGTGGGCAGGTGGGGACCGGACAGAGTGGAAGTCTTTGGGGGCTTTGCGTTTTCCCACCGCAGGGACGCTGGTTATTACCAAGTGTCGCCCAACATCTGCCGCGTACTTGGCTTGTGCATTTATTCTCGTCCTTCTCATTATGGGCATATAAATCCCTTTTCATGCCCCAGCCTCCTTCTGCCCACATCTGTCTGCAATTTACTCACCATGTGCTGTGGCTGGGGAGGAAGCATCTTATTTATGACTTTGTAGAATGCCAGGCAAGGATGCTTGAGGTGCTTGCTACCTTGAACTTAGATGGGCTCAGGGGGTCTAAGGTGTGGGTTATCCCAAATGGGAATCAGGCGACCAACATCTCCAAACAGATCTGAGGAAGGCTGCCAAGCCCTGTCTCATCAGATAATCACTAAGTATTTGCACTAACGGTACTTGGCACTGGGCCAAGCACTTTATCCCTCATTTAACCCTCGTGACAACCTGTGAAGCAGCTACTATTATTGGCCTCAATTATAAGAAAAGTAGGTATCGTTACCGTTGCCTTCTGCAAAGGAACTGTGGTTCAGAGAGGTTAAGGAATTTGCCCCAGGTCACACAGCTAGTAAGTGACAGAGATGGGATTCATGCCCAGATCTGACTCCAGAGTCTGCTGTCCCCGTGACTGAGCTAGGATGGCCTCCTGTCTCTCTTGTCCAGGCCAACTTCACCCCTTGTGACCTCATCCAGAGGGGAGATGAGGTGTTTAGTGCAGTGGAAAAAGTTTCGGACTCTGCTGCTAATTAGCTCTGTCACCTTGGCCAAGTTACTTACGCTCCCTGAGCCTCATTCAGCTGTCTCCATCTGTGAAAGGGGTTAAAACCTTCCAGCAGGAGTGGGATGAATGGTAGACCAAGTGCGTAGAACAGTGCTGGAACACAGTAGGTGCTCAATAAGGCTTTCCTTGAATGAATACTGACGAGTCCTTGTTGATGAGATTATTGTTCCTACAAAGTAGTCGCCTTTGGGGGACCTCTGGGTCCCTGAGCAAGGCCCTGAAGACCTTTGGGGATGGATAAGAAATTGTACAGCACAGAGTTGGGAAGAAATGCCTGCACAGCTCTGTGCCCTGTGGGCTAAACAGAGGAGGGTGCACATCACGGTTACTGCCTTCACAGACACGACCTCATTTAATTCACTGTTACTGTCCCATCACTCAGATCAGAACACTGAGGTCTGGAGAGCTGTCTGCTCCAGGAGCTGGGCAGTCGGTGGGTCAATGAACCTCTGCTCACTCGCTGCCCACACCCCTGGGCACAGGAACAGCAGAGAGAGGTATTCCCCCTCCTCCCAGGTGCAGAAGGGGAAATACAGGTGAGAATTCTTTCCCTGGCCCAGGACACAGGAGGCAGGTGACTCTGTCCTGGAATGAACACCGGCAAAGGAGGCTGAGACAGCGTCTGGCTGCTTCCTGAGGCAGCCTCGACTCTGCAGGATCGTGAAACCTGGCGAGACCAAAGGACGTCAGCTCACACGGCCTGGACCCAGCAACACGTGCCCATGGGAGACTCCTGAGACTTGGATCTCCTTCCTGAGAAGGGTGGGGATGTTCCAAGGGCCCCGGGAAGCTGGGAGTGGAGGGAGCTTGTATAAATCTGCCTGGACCACAGGAGGGTTGCACAGAGAAAGCACGTGTGCCTGACACAGTGACTTCTGATCACACGGCGTCAGCTGCACCATGACACAGACCACCTGCCTGCTATGGCCTGAAGAGACCACCCAGAACACTGTCCAGGTGGCCCCACCGGAAACAACACCCCAACAGGAAAGTGTCTACCCAGCTTTAAGAGTAACATGTACTGCTGGGAAGAACGCAGAGAGGGGCTGGAGAAGCCGGGTGAGGGCGCACCGGCGTCCCAGGCTTCCTGGGGGACGGGTGGTGGCGTGTCGGCCAGACAGCTGGCTTAGCCAGTGTTCTGCTGCTCACTTCACACCTCTGGTCAGGGAAACCCACAAGGACAGAGCCGACTAACCATCCAGCACAATCCCCTCTCCCCCCTCCCCGCCCAGTTAGCCTTGTAGCTGGGACGCGGATGCCCAGCATTCCCTGTGGCCACGCTCTTGCCAAAGGGAATCTCTGACCTTGAATTTTAGCTCTTTCCCTGGATCCTTCACAGGCCGGG